AAGTTGGGACGAAGCATAACGCACCACTCCCCCGCGCGCCAAACCTGCTGGTATAGACTGGATCGTCTAAAAATTCGTCCAAAATTGCTATGGCTTGCTCGTATGGATCAGGCTGAGCGACAGCTCCGGGTACTAGCACTGGTTGGTGGGTAATATCGATATCACCCACCACATTGAAGAAGACATCCTGGACCTCTGGCCCAGCCTTCTCCATTAACCCCGCTCTTTTCAGCAATGAGTTGTTTGCTAATTCTTGTCTTCCGAACATCCAGATCTGAAAAGATCGCTTCCATTTCTTCCATTTCGGGCCTGCCGACAGTGGATCGTCTCTAAACTTCAACTGAGAGAGCGAATTACCTTCTTGATGAGCCATGGCGTGCTTGCCGTGAGCACGACTTAACCAACCAATCTTGACCGTCCTTTCTTCTTAGTGACAGCCAGAAAATCACAGATTATTGTCGATTCTTCCTTCTGAGTTCGAATTGCCTCGTCGCCAATGTAGGATTCTCTCTTTTCTCCAGATGCAATTAGATTTGGTAGCTCAGGGTAAAGGAACGAACCGGCCACTTACTTGTCTACACCATGACTGATCTTTATTCACAGATGCTCGGCAGTTATTGACAGGGTGTACACTGGCGCCCTCTATAGGCAGGACACAACAATTATAACAGTGCATACATGAAGACAACGATAACAATGCTTTCCTGTAAACGCAAACTAAACATGTAACGGCATGGGAGGCGCCTCTCTTTAAAAATAGGACACGGGCAATTTTCATTTGTTGGTTGCCAATTCTTAAAGTTAACACTATCAGGCAACTTTACTCTTCCCTCCTGGTACTCAACTCGGATGCACTCTGCTGCAAATGACGTTGCAGAGTCTAAAATCTTTTGGACATTAGTGTCTCTGCAGTGTCGGTGCGGTATGACATCTTCATTATCCCCAAGAAATCTTTATAGTTAGTAACAGCATCACTGCTGTCTTGCAAAACCAAAAGGCCCTTGACAAGCTCAACTAATGAAGATCGTTTGCTCATAAGGCTTTTGATATTTTTGTTGTGCGACTCAACTGAATTGTTGGTCCTCTGGCCTAAATTCAGGGAGTTTAACCGCTCGTAGCAGGACCAAGCTGTCCCATACTCTGCCCAATATTTATTAAAATATTCCATGAATGTGGGTGATGCTTCATCTTTGAGCTCTTCAAGATATTCCATATATTTCCTGTGAGTTAAGGCGTAAACTATATTTTGGAGGACTTCCCTGATTTTGTCCTTGTTCACCTCATCTTTGCTATTTCTCTTGAATGCTTCAAGAACATGGACGCTGCACAAGTGAATATGAACAGATGGTAAAAGTTCTTTCAAGACTGTTACCTCATTGTAATCTTTGTCGACTACAATAGTTTGAACTAGCTCAATAGAATCAGCGTTGGCCTGCTTGAAGGTCATTACTGATTTTCGCATAATGTCAATTTTCTTACTGGCAACGAAACAATAACCAGCTGGCTTTCCTTGGCCATGGCAATCTGTGACTCTAAAGACAACCAACGGCATTTGGTTCTTGTTGACACAATACGTGGTGTCCATGCCTACAAGTTCCGGATACTCACGGAAGTTCTTGCCCATTTCACTTGTTTGGAAGAACAAACAATATCTTTTTCTCTTTATTGTTTTCGTCCTCTTCACCCCAGCTTTTACTGTCAGTGCTCTCCTCCCCAATGATCACACAGCTTCCTGGACTTTCATTTATTTCTTTGAGAACAGCAAAGAGATGTTCAGTCTCAGAGTCATATTTTTTCTGTTCATTGAGCCTTAGTCGAGTCCTGAAATTCAGAGTTGTGAACATTGTTAGCGTTGCCTGTACGAGCATAGCCTATGCTTTGGCCCCTAGCATCTCCTCTACCTTGGCTCTTTCTTCAGCATCCAGGCGTCGCCTCTCGGGATACACAGGGAACAGCGATGGATCAACAGGGTGGTTCTGATGAGAGTCACTGAACTTATGGTCCCTCAGGAAGTGCCTGGAGTTCAAATTTTGATGTACATAACATTTTGAAGGATCTGGAATAGAGACCGTCAATGCAAGTGTTACAGATTGTAGAAAACTGACAAGCAAATCACATTAGGAGCAAAACAGCACTTGCTTTTGGTTTGGTCGATCGCCCTTCAACTTCTCATTCTTCTTCTTAGCACCAAAGTGCTTGCAGGTCATGACAAGACGCTTGTACTTTAGTTCCTCAGGAACTTTAAACTTTGAATTGAAAAAGAATTGTGGTGTGTTGCCTTAGTGGACCTATATAATGTACATATACTTGTTGAGGTCTTCTGCATATATTGTTCCAGAGCAAACTCGAAATCCTGAAAGGATTTGTATGTTGCTCTCTGTCGCAACTGTGAAAAGTGCTTGTCACACTATTCGCAGCTATGACTGCTAATACTAGCCATGTCCTGGGCCGCAGTCCAGTGACTGCGATTAACAAGTTCGAAAGTGGCCGATGAATAAACTAGCGAAAGGCAAGACCTTGTAGGCTTCGTGTGTAATATTGTCTATTTCAATAAATAACATATCATATAATTCACGAGTTGGTTATAGAATTGATGGGGTCGGCTAGTGTTGTTTAACTTGCGCCCTGCTGGCGCCGGGCGGGCAGCGAAGGGAAGGGTAGGGTAGCGGGGAAAACGGGAGCTAACAATGCAAAACGAGCTACCAACATGTGCCATTTCATGACAAGCTTGTATAAGTTTACTATATATTTTACAGCTTGCAAAGGTATAATATTTCATTATATTTTGCAGATTTGAGTAAAATTTGTAATGCAATATATTTTTCAGACAGACCTCATCTTACAATATGTCTAACAATAAGTTTTAGCGATTCAAAACTTACTTCGCGAGGGGCCAGGAAAACCTGAAAAAACTTTACAAAGTAAAAGACTGAATACAAAACGTGCACTGCACATAACATATTACATCAGCTATTAAAATGATTTTATACACGGTTTTTCATTACTACAATATTTACCTGCTTCTTCCAGCTCAGAGCATCTTGCTATTGTTGCCATGGTGAACTTTACAAGAGCCCTGACTGGAGAGAACTTGTATTTTGCAACAAGTTTCAGGCCGCCCACCATCCTGCAGATTGCGTGCATGAAGTGGGCATAGCACCATGCTAGGATTACAAAAAAGATTCTTCCTGTTTCCTTTGCCTTCATGCAATCTTTTAAGTATTGGATGATGTATCTGTTGCAGTACTCCTGAAGTATGGCATTTGTTAAAGCCCAACTCATGTCAATTACCATGACATCAAATGGCACAACGTCTGACTTGGCAACCTGCGAAAATTTCTGTTAACTTCTTGCCAACCAATGGGAAACTTCAAACTCGTGGTGATCATTGTTAATGAATTCAGAAATTGTAATAGGTGCTTGTTCTCCTTTTTTGACGCACATGATGTAATTGTAAACATCTTTTGTTTTCGCCCATTGGGGCTTTCTTACTTACTTTCCTGTAATAAATCAATGAATTTATCAAGGAAATAAGTGAAAAATGAGAGAGCCAGAGTGTCTAACATATTTGATACATCACTTTAGGATCATGCGTTAATCATGTTTAGTTTACGAAACATGAACCATATCTCAAAAATAATGAAATTTTCTGATCATAGCCATTGACAGTCGTAAAAATCACAGCCACAGCAGAACAGAAATGGCTATGTGATTGTATTTTTGGGGGCTTAGAGTGGTACAGGACTTTTCTTTTAAGTGGTAAAATTGTTGAATGTGGAAAATAAAAAATTCAACGAATCTAGGAAACAAAACAAAAAGTGCTCTATAAGTACCTTCAATACCTTCAATATAAATTGGGGATCAGCTTGGGAAAACATATGACTACATTCAAAATTATAACTTGACAGGAGAATTTCAATGAGATTCTCCTGCATTAAGTTTTAATTTTGAGTGTGGTCACAGGGTACCGCAAACTGATCCCCAAACTACATACATTAACTAGCTATATGTACGCCAGACCACGTCTCGCGTAACAGGCTTCGCGATATCTCACGAAACACTGTTACGCTGCGACGCGCCTGGCACACATATAGACTAAACACGTAATTTTACGGCCCTCTGGGTGAAAATTTTAAGGAGAAGGCTCTATCTCTGCCGGTTTGCATGATATGAATTGTTTCTATATCGCTGTAAATGAGCAACCTTTACCCTTCCAAAAATCATTCGTAGCTCGAAAACCGGGTGATATGGAGCCTTCTCTTTAAAATCTTCACCCAGAGGGCCGTAAAATTGCGTGTGTAGTCAATAAAAAAATACGCCAAAAATTGAAGTTTTCAAAACCACCTCTTATGGCAGGCCAGAATAACAGGCAAGGTAGGGTTACGAAAGCGTTAAAGGAAAAAACTTTTAAAAAAGTACCAGGAGTTTTCATCCAAAATGGCGCTTGGAAAACACTATTACAACACAAGAATCGGAAATAAGCGATATACGACTT